CTGAGGGATGTGGCAGCGTCCCTCAAGGTCTGTAATTAGCTCCACAATCAAGCCGTTGACTGGAAAATACGCTTTATTCCTAGTTTTTCTTGCAATGAGCTAGCCGGGGGGGCGGTGGTTCTCTTGGTCCAGAAGGATTCCGTACGGTGGGGCAGAGCTAAGAGTACCGATATCTCTTAACTGACCTTTTAAAAAGCTGTCTTGGCAAACAATTCCCTCCTCGGGGATTCCTCGTGCGCTCTTCCACCGAGGGGAGCCCTTCTGAAATCCAAAGCCTGTCTGAAGCCCGATAACAAATTCCCGCGCTTCGGGGGTAGGAGTAGGCAGAATCACCTTTCCTTTTAGTCCCTAGGAGCTGAAATGGAAAACGGGCCACGGGGTGAAGATGGAAACGTGCTTGGAAACACAAAAAAAACCCCAAGACAGGGTTTGGGGCGTTGGGAAAGTTGAATCCTGGCTCTGTCCTGGTTCCGGAGGTTGGGAAACCCCCGTTGTGCGTTGTGCCCTTGCTGTGGGGTATAATGCTTAAAGTGAGGTTGTGGGGTTGGGTTTTTCCCTAATTTTTCCTTCCCCTGACCGAATTATCCCCTGTGTTCACAGGCTACATCCAGAAGATAAAGTCGGGAGAGGAGGATTTTGAATCTCTCGCTTCCCAGTTTAGCGACTGCAGCTCAGCCAAAGCGGGAGGCGACCTGGGCGCCTTCGGAAGAGGTAAGTTGAGCTCAGCCTGATGACGGGATCGAGGTGACAGGGTTGATGCTGATCTTGGCTGGGGGGAGGTTAATAACGCCCCCCACTGCCAGGGGAATGAGGATGGGAACGGATTTATGTGGCAGGCAACCTGCTGTGCAGGAATTGTAGTTCGATGCCTGGAAGCTGAACCAATTGGAAACACAACCATGATGTTCCTCGAGGCGGAGAGATGTTGTGCAAACGCCCTGTGTGAAATTGGCTTTTTCCCCCTCTGGAAAAGGATTTTCCAGCGGCGCTGAACGAGCTGTGAATAAGGGAGAAGCGGCGAAGTCTCGCCAAGGGCCGGATAAATGATCGGTTGTTCTCCTCTGCGATGGGGGAGTAGCTCAAAACTTGTGGGAATGAGAACAAGGCGCAGCCCGCCGGGATAACGTCGCTGCCCAGGGGGTTTTGTCACTTATCCGTCGGTGCAGCGACAACCAGGAGCTCGTGGAGGCTTCCTCGTTAAGGAGATTTGCTGGTGCGGGAGGAAGGACCTTTGGGATGGGGAAGCGTAACGTTGAAACCTCTTTTTGCTTCATCTTACGAACGCTTTTGGGAGGAATTCATAGAATGATGGAATGGTTTGGGTTGGAAGGAACCTTAAAGATCATCTGGTTCCAACCCCCCTGCCATGGGCAGGGACACCTTCCATAGCCCAGGGGGCTCCCAGCCTCATCCAGCCTGGCCTTGGACACTTCCAGGGATGGGACAACCGCAGCTTCCCTGGGCAACCTGTCCCAGTGCTCCCCACCCCCTGCGGGAAGAATTCCTTGCTGATATCTAATCTAAACCTCCCCACTTTCAATTTAAACCCGTTACCCCTTGTCCTGTCACAACAGGCCCTTGTAAAAAGCCCCCCCCAGCTTCCCTGTAGCCCCTTCAGGTACTGGAAGGCTGCATTCCCACTCGGAGGTGCACGGGAAGCAGTGAGCAGAGCTGCAGTAGTCAGAGAACAAGATTTTATAGCCGGGCTGCCCACGTCAATTTTACCTGAACAGGGTCAAGAAAGGGAGGGAGAATGGTGTATTTATAATCTGTGCCCCAAATCCGTCGGGACTTGCAGCGATCCCAGAGGAAGAGCTGCCCGTATCCGAAAAGGCGAGCAGCGCTCCAGCATGTTGTTATAAAGGGGAGGTGTTTTTCCTCGGCTCACACTCAGGGGTTCATGGGCTGAAACTCTCAGTTACCCTGCTCTGGATATCCGGGGAATATTTCCAACACTCCAGTGTTTAAAACACGCCGCTGCTGCAGGCGTAACCGTGGGAGGGGATCCCGAGCCGCTCTTTCAGCCCCTGCTAGCGGAAGCCCACCCGGTTTTGACAGGTGAAACTGTTCAGGAATGTAGATTGGGGTGGAATTTTTCCCCCCTCACCACCCAAATCCCGTGGATTTTCATCACTTTTCCTTTTTAGGGCGCAGCGTTGCTACAGCTGAGCAACACTTCCTTCCCCAGATCCCCTCAGGCAGGGCTAACCAGCCATACCTTATGACCCCACATGAATCCTGGGGGGCTGTGTCTGCTCTTTCGGGTTCAGCGGATACTCCTCTCGCTCTGCTCCATGGAAAAACGTTGCTTTTTATGTTTCTGGCTGCACCAAAACCTAAAGAAACGTCGTGGGAGCCGCTTTCCACTAGATGGCATTGGAATGACGTGTGGGGGCCAAACCCTGAGCTGTCACATCCCCCTCTCTGCCGCTTCCTTGTGGGTTTTATGTTTTTCGTTTTTTTTTTACTGGGCTGAGAACCTGAGCTGTCACATCCCCCTCTCTGCTTCTTCCTTGTGCGTTTTATGGTTCTTTTTTTGCTGGGCTGAAAATGTGATTTGTTGGAGCACTGGTTCCTTCGGAGGTGAAGTTATTAAACCATTCCAATTTGTTTTCCTGAGACCCTTCCCATAAGTGACGTTGCGGCTCGAGGGAGACGGCTGCGGTGTGGCAGGGAAGGCCGTTACCTCGCCTGAAGTCGAGATTGCAGGTCCTAGTGGAAAATAACCAAAAGGTTCAGGTGACAAGGCAGGTCTGGCTGAGAGGGAATGACGCTGGCTCTGTAACCAGAGCTCGGGAGCTGCTGCCTCTCCTAGGAATTAATCAGAATGCCGAAAGGAGGGAAGCGAAACTCCGGCACCCCGCGTGCGTTAGGTCATTTGGGTAACAAAGCGATTTTTGGAAGGGGAGAACGCCAAGCTGACGCTGTCGCTAATGCTGGAAGGCAGGAATTGAGTGTGTTTTGTGGCATCCACCTGCCTCCCCTAGAGATGGATGTCCCAAAATAGGGATTCCGGAGGCGCTGCTGGGCTAGACGCGACGCATCTGTGGTGCGTGGTCTTCGAAGGGGTCGGGCAGCTTTAGTTTTCGTGGAGAGATGACGCGTATGGCTGCGATGTCTGCTGGTGGTCAGGCTGCCCGGAAGCTTCCTGCATCCCCCCCAGCCCCCCACGACCGTGCGGCGGCACCCGAAGCTATGGCACTGCCGTGGGGCTCGGAGACAAGCCTCGTGCCGGGGATTTGTGGTGTTGCAGGCTGGTGTCCTGCCAAAACCACGTCTCCTGGGGCAACTCTGTGAGCGTGGGAAGCGCTGAGAGCAGTGGGTAAAGGTTCCCTCTGTGCCTGGGGGGGGCTGTCACCTCCCCGCCTTCCCTTGACGGCGCCTCGGCCTTTTGCTGAGCTTCTCCCGGGGAGAATTTGACCTGTTGGTGCCCGTAAAACCCCACTTTTTTGGCTTAACCCCACTTTTTCGGCTGGGGTGGGCAGTTTTTCTGCTTTAACTTCTGTCAGGGGGAACTGGGCAAAAATACCGTCCCCCTTGGACCCCCCCGAGCGGGCGGGTGTGTGTTTCCCCTTGGCTTGAATTATTCCAGCTGAGCACTTGAATTGCTCATTCCTTCTCCGGGATCCCTGAGTGGGGTCTTTCCCCTGAGCCACCTCTGGCTTTCCTGAGCCTGGATTACTAAAGCTCCTGGAATTCAGCGGCTTGGAGACTGGAGCCTGAAGAGCAGCTCTTATCTAGGTCATGACATTACCCACGTGTGCCTTGTAAATTATTTAGCGCAGCTGGTAACGCACACCGCGTCCGTTCCCCCCCGTGCCCCCGGAGGGCACAGGAGGCTGGAAGAGGGACGTCCGCTCGTCCCAGCCAGTGTGCAGGTCAGGTTTCCTCTCCCAGCGTTTTTCCTGGCTGCCGTGGGATGTGCACAACTCACCCTCTGTTTAAAAAGAACCAGCCTGCGTGAACGAGTTGTTTTGAGTCATCTTCTGGGAGAAGATGAAAACAAACACCCCCCCCTGCACGTTATTAATTGGGGGCTTTGTTGTTTGCCTGGAAGCTGTCTTCGTTTGAGGCTGGCTCGCTGGGAAAGATCTTTCCGCGAGCTTAATTGAACTTTCTGGTGTCTGCTCTCTGCAGGTCAGATGCAGAAGCCTTTTGAAGATGCCTCGTTTGCGCTGAGGGCTGGCGAGATGAGCGGCCCGGTTTTCACAGAATCAGGGATCCACATCATCCTACGCACGGAGTGAAGTGCCTTGGTGACAGGGAGGAAGGAAAGGGCGAGGGGAAGAAAGGAAAATAAACCCCACAAAACCTACTCCGACCCCGCACTCTCCCAAAGGAACTTCATATCCAGTTTAAAAAATTAAAAAAGCAAAGCAAGCTCATTTTCATATCTCAGTATCTTCTGCGGCACCCGACACCGTGTTTTGCACCGTCGGAGACGCGTGGTTGGCCAAGGGTGGGAACGCCATCGGAACAAGGCAGGAACATCTTTGGTGAGCGGGGAGGATGTTCAACCCGACGTTTCTGGCATGCCACAGCTGCTTGAATTCCATCGACACGTCTCCTCCGCTGAGGAATCCTCAGTGCTAAAGGTCACCCCTTCGGCGCTTCCCACATCCACCCCGGTAGAGACGCGGAGTATTTATTGCGGCGAAGCTGACGCGGGAACTCTGGTGCTATGACGGAACCAACCCCCCGACTCTCTGCGTGGTCGTTTCAGCCCGTTTTAACCCAAACGAACGATACTTCCTCTGCTGGTCTGTTGGTTTGTAGGACTGATTAATTAAAGCCATTCATAAATTTGACCGTAAGGTATCAAACGAGGAGCCGGCTTAGCGTGGGACACCCGTCCCTCCCTCTCCGTCCGTCCCTTCCCTTCGTGCCGCTGTCTCGGCGAGGATCGTCCCGTCGCGCAGGAGCTCCCTCCCCTCCTGCCGCTGCTTGAAGATGCCTTTTGGTCCCGATGACGGGCTCACGGCCAGTAGTTGCCACCGCTGGAAGGTCAGTAGCCAGCCTGAGCTGCGTTAGCGGTACGTAGGACGCTGTGCGCTTCCCGTTCCGGCCTGAAGTCGCTCCGTTCTTTCCCCACCGCGCTGCCGTTCCCTGGGGCGCGCCGCGTTGGGCGTTTTCACTCCTTGGCTGGAAGGCTGCTGTTTTGGGGGTGGGGGGGGGTGGTTTGGTTTGTGTCTCTCGAGCTCCTCTCGATCCACTTGTGGTTTTGAACACTGTAAGTCGTCGTTTTCCCAGTTACGCTGCGTTGCTTATGTTTAGCGAAATAAAAACGGGGTTTGGTTTTTTGGGGGTGGGAAATTGGCTCCCAGCTTCGGTCCAGTGCAAACCAGCTGTATAGTTCCAGTTCTCCTCAGCAGAAAATAAAGCCCTCTCCAATTAAACATTTCGAGATGCTCCTGCTATTGATTATTTCCCCTCCTCTGCCCGTAGGCATCTCGTTGCGTCTCATTAGGACGAACGAAAACCTCTGCAGTGTGTGAGCTGGCTCTTGCTGAGGCTTTGGTGGTGCTTTCAAATCCTAAAACACCAACGTGGCCTTGCGTGGAATTAAGGAAAACCCCCGAGTTTGCCTTCAGCTTGAAGCTAAACGTTCCTTCTTGTCTCTTTGTCGCGGGGTTCTGCGTCGCCCCGAGTCATCGCCTGGTGGAACACGAGCTCTTTAAACCCTGTTGGCTTCAGCTGATGTTTAAAAACTACTTCCGGTGCGATGTACTAACCCCTTCCCACCACTCCTCCGCTCGGCACGGTCACGTGTTCCATCTGTGGTGTGAAACCAGCCACTTGGCGCGTCGGCTTTTTTCCTCTTTTCCCCCCAAAAAGTCCCACTTTAGCACTGGGAAAGGCGTTTCCCACGTACTCCCTCCAACGAACCCAAACGTCCGAGTCTCTCTCGCGGTTCTATTTTTTTCCTGGGGAGACGGAAAGCTCTTGTGCATCACCTAAAAGTTGGTTTCCATAGCTACGCATCGATTTAACCCCAAAATAAAGGAAGAAATAGCCAGCTCGGGGTGACAGGCAGGTGAGAACTTCAAAAAGAAAAACCCCCTCAAGACGCTGTGGGGTATCCCGAAAGCGGGATCGGAGGTAAATAAAGGCAGGCAGAGATGGAAATGGGGGGATAAAATAAAAGCAGCGGCAGCCAAATGTCTTTCTGGGGCTGCAGCAGGTTTGTTCTCCAACCGGGGCGATTCCCGCCTTGGGGTTCGGGTCTTCATCAGCCCGGGGGAGGGGGCCACCTCTGACCGAAAGGAGGTTATGGGGACGGCTGTGAGAGGTGGAGAATTTTTGGGGTGGAGGTTGAGATGCTCCCGGGGTGTTTGGAAAGGGTGAACCTCGCAGCGACGAGCGGTGGGGCTGCGGGAGAAGGTGCTGGCTTCTAAGAAAATGCTCGTTGGTGCTTGGGGGGGTGGTGTTTGGGTTATTAATCATTCCTGAAAGCACCCAAAGGCCTCGGGGGCTGGGTGCAGGGGGTCCAGGCAACCACCCCGGGAAGGATGAATGCCCTTGGGATACCCTGGCAGTGGGCACCGTTGTGAGCGGGCTCAGTGGCCCTCGGGTCACGGCGTTGCTGCGAACCGGCCGTATCCAGCCCCGCGTGGTGCCGAGGAGAGCGGCTCTGTGGGGGCTGGCAC